AAAATCCTCTTCGGAACAACTCTTGATCACTACACCGTCGATATAATACTCGACCTCGTGATGTAGCAAGTCGCCGACGATCTAAGTCATGGCACGCTGGTAAGTTGCCCCAACATTTTTCCAGCCGAAGGGCGTGACTCTACAACAAAAGATGCTTATGGGCATGTGAAACGACATATGCTCTCACTCTTTTGGAGCCATCCAGATCTGATTGTATCCGGACAAGTCATCCAAGAAGGAAAACATCGCATGTGTCGAGGCGACATCTACCATCAGCTCTGGTATAGGTAGAGAAAAGTCGTTCTTCGTAAAGGCCTTGTTTAGGTCCCGAAAATCAATGCAAACTCATATATGTCTGTTCTTCTTACGAATGAGAATGATGTTTGCAAGCCATGTAGGATAGGAAGCCTCCCTAATGAAGCCAGCCTTGATGAGATTTTTGGTCTCTTCGATAACCATGAGCTTTATCTCGGGCCGCATTCTCCAAGGGGATTGTTTCACCAGTGAGATATTCAGATCAATGGCGAGATGTTGACCTACCAGTTCCGAGGACAAACTGGGTATTTCGGAGTAGCTCCAGGCAAGTCAATCTCAAAACTCTGTGAGGATTCTATGACTTTCACAACCATAAAAGCTGATAGGAGTTTACTTATGAAAGTGGAACGAGGATCGTCAACCCTGCCTAGGTTGACCTCGATCAACTTGTCAACGATCAAAGAGAAGTCATCCTCCAATTTGGTAGGGGCATCCTTAATTTCGACCTCCTCATCGCGAGCGATAAAGATTTCGCTACCGTGAGATGCATAGATCATGCATGAGGCATTGAGAGTCATAGCATCACCTTGCCTTTTGACATATCCTACACCGAATTTGTCTCCTAGGGGTCTATTCTGTCATATGACCTTGTAAAGTTTGACTTGACAAACAGACCACCCTTCAGGAAATAACCCATCATCCAACAGTTTATAAATAAGAGGTGAACAAAAATAAGAAAGTGGGATATCCTCTACTTGTTCATTATCATTATTATGGGTTACATGAGAATCTAATTTGTAAAATAAACTGTCATTCTCTTTAGACTACGGTCTAAGAGGTACATAAAATGCCTTGAGATCCTCAATTATGGAAGCATGTGCAGCTGTCAGATCCCTGTGGTGGCCTCGTGGTATCTGGTCAATAGTCAACACTTTGTCCGCCAAAGTCAATTCGGACAGACGAGAGATTATGATCGCTGATGGTGAACATAAAATTTCGTCATCGGACTCATCTGAACTATCACCATGTGCATCTTCAGGTTTGTCTACTTCAAGCGCTTCTTCTGCCTCATAATCTATATCAGAATCAACACATATGATGACCTTAGAGGTCGGCAGAGTAGGAAGCCTTCTGGTTGGCTCATTATGAGTGGGGTATAGAGCCTTTCCTCACGCTTCCCTATCTCTTTCCCATTGACTGGTTGAGGGCTAGGAAGAAAAGGGGCCCATGGACATCCCACGGTACTCAAAGAAGGTAAAGACGCCTTGCCATGAGACACGTAATATTCAGCGTCGTCGTACATGCCGACTTCATTCACAAAAGAAGACTAACATGTTCTTTAGAGCTTTACTCGAATGAACCTGGACTCACGAATACGGGATGGTACATTCGACCCTCTATTAGTGTATTAAATACATGCATGGAGGAGTTTTTCATCGATGGCGTGGAACTTGGCTTCGCTTTTAAACTCTCCAAACTAGAGAGGAAGGGTAATGGACCCAAGGGTCTTTTAGCCCTTCTCATTGAAGTCATTTAACATAATCCTATTGGAGCATAATCGTTGGGTGTTTGATGAAAGTAACTTGAGGCTGCACACGGTAATGATGTTAACAGATACACCAAGATCAACTAATATACGGTTCAAAGGCGTCCCACATATCATAACTGTCACATATAAGAGACGATTGTGGTATGTAGTGCCCAACAATAGGTCGTCCTAAAAAAAAGTGACAGGGGCTATGTCTTGTGGCTTGACCGCCTCCTTCATCCTCCTTCATCCTCTCCTCGGTGTAGTATGCATGGAAGAATTCGAGCTCTAAAAGAGCTTCACCAAAGTCTCCCTCAACCCTGAGGATAAAAGGAGAACATCATAGATGCTCAATGATGTCGACAACCTTTTTAGGTGCGCTGGCACGTTATAATCTACCTTGTTGGTAGGATTTTTAGTTCCTTTGCTTTGGGTCGGAACCTCATGAGGATCATCCACCTCTTGGGTAATTATCTCCTTCCCTTTATCATGAGAGGCAGGCTTAGCTACCCTCGGAGGAAAGGGATTGTCGCTTCGTAAGTGGGCTATCCTCGTTAGGGGACCCAACAAGATCACTCTCAATAGGACACTCAAGCTAGGGCTGTCAAAAAAACTCATTGTTTGCGAACAGTTTGTGTTCGGCTCGTCGGGGAGTTCTTGTTCGATTCGTTCGATAAGCAAACAAGCTGAACATGAATAAATTTTTTGTTTATAAACAAACAAAACACGAACAATCATTTGTTTGATCGTGTTCGAATCGTTATTGTTCGAAATATAAAATAATTTAAAATAATTATATATAAAAATTTATCATATTTTAAAAATAATTATGTACTTTAAAAATTTATCATATTTTAAAAAATTAAATCCTAAAAATTATAATCTGATCTTCAGGTTCGTCTCTTAGTTTATATTAAATTCTATAATTTTGTATTTATTTTCGGGTTCATCCCTTAGCTTAAGTTTTCTTATATTTTTTTTAGATTTATTTAGTTTCTTTGAGTGAAACCTAATTTTTGGTAGTGAAATCTCGCATATTGCCTCTAAATTTGATTTTTTTATAGATGAAATATGATATTATGGTTTTTTTGTGAGTTGTGCTTCCTCTATTTTGCATTTGTGTTGTGATTCATATATGTTTAAGCATTAATTTCATATATGTTTTTTGAAAGATTTATAACAATTTGAACAATTCAAGTAATACAAACAAATTTGTAAAATTTTAAACAATTCAAACAATTTGAATGATTTGAACAATTACTCAAACATTTCAAACATTTCAAACATATTTCAAACAAATCAAACCGAACACGAACAGTAACTTCACGAATAAGTTCAAACACGAGTCTATTTCAAACACACATAATTTCAAACAAACCAAACACAAACACGAGCTCTGTTCATTCATGTTTGGTTCGTTTACACCTCTAACTCAAGCAAAGGCTATATGGAAAGGCCTTGAGAAAGAGGCATCTCACTTGCACCGTTTGACGATTCACTCAAGTCGTCATGAATGTGGTAAGTGTCGTCAAAGGAGGGCAATAGCGGGTATTGCTCTTCTCCTTCATTAAGAGAATTAGTGTCAGACTCGTGAGAGCTAATCATAAACACATAGAACATAGAAGAGTACTCAGAAATGTCTTCTTTTATTGCTTCATAAACAGTACAAACTGCTTCAGCGGAAACAGACTCCTATTCTGAGCTACATTTGCAACATAAAAGTGAGGAAGTACATCAAAAGAAAGTACATCAATAGCACAAGCTGTAGTGGAAGCAACAATGGGAATGGCAAGAACAACTGCAACAACTCCGGCTAATCCTCGTGCAAGAGGCTTCTCCAAGAACAACCATGTAATCTCTATCTCTCTCACTCTGTAGTAGGCTTCAAGCCAATTCATGAAGACATAACAGTCCTCAAGTACATGTCCCAAACACCTAGGGTATTGACAATAGTTGGGGTCTTAGGTCTTCTCTGCCTCATTGGGCTTCTTTAGAATAGGAAGTTGCATGCCCTTCTTAAGAAGATTTTTTAAGATCTTCCCAAAGCAATCTCTCCTAAAAGAGTGTCTTAGGTTTTTTTTTTCTGATCAGAAGCTTGGCCTTTCCACCCACTTCTAAGAAGAGGAGTGAGCTGCTCAACAGACACAATATGTTTCTTCAGCTTGCTATCAATTGTGGTCAATGCTAAGCTCTCTCCGTCCTTCATGAAGGACCAGCGAAAAAGTCTTTTGCCTTTGATTTCATCATTAGATTTGAGAACCAAAGACCCTACGGTATCATGTAGGCTAACTATCTTCTCTATCAAAACTTTTGAAGCTCGTGATAGGAGTAATCTTGAGCAAGACTGAGATTGGCCCCTTGATTTTGCCCATGAGAAGAGAAACAACATACTGCTCCTTAGGGAGCGACTCAGACTTCATACTCAAGTTAAGCCAACAGATAATGAAATATACTTGAGACTCATTATGGATCGTCTGATCTATCTGCACACACGTCCTGACATCTCATTTGCAGTGAGTGTGGTAAGCCACTATATGAATGATCCAATGGTCATATAGATGCAGTGTATCAGATTCTGAGGTATCTAAAGAGTGAACCGGGAATGGGTTGATCTTCAAGATAAATGAATATGTAGACATTGAGAGCTATTAAGATGTTGATTGGTGAGTGTGCAGGTAACAGAAGATCCACCTCAAGATACTACATGTGTGTAGGGGCAACTTGGTCTCCTAAAAGTGCTAAAAATATGTAGTAGCAAGGTTAACAACAGAGGCAAAGCACAGGGACATGGTCTTAGTAGTTACCGAGATGATGTGGCTGAGAGACTTGTTGGTTGAGCTCAAGGTGGATCAAGGAACTCAAATGAAGTTGTGGTGTGACAAGTCAGCAACGAACATTGCCAATAACCCAATGTAACATAATAGAGCCAAATATGTGGAGATTGATAGATTTTTCATCAAGGAAAAGTTGAATAACGGACTATTGGAGCCAAGTCATATAGCCACTAGAGAGCAAGTGGCTAATAGCCTCACTAAAAAATTTAATTCATCAAATTTTTCTATAGATTATGTGACAGAATAAGCTTAGTAGATATCTTTTGCCCATTTTGAGAGGGAGTGTTGAGATCTGTTCGTATTTTGAAGGGTGCAATTGTAAATAGAAAAATATAGAATAAGTCTAAGAATTATTTATAAAAAGATTGCAAGGTTCTATAGAAGCCCAATTCATAAATGAAGGAAATAAGATCTTTACCAAAGCATTCATTTCTTCAAAGAATCCTGGTAATAAGTACAAACAAGCATTAGCCAATATATATATTGATAGATACAACAGACTGAAAACTTTAACGACGCAACTAAATTTATTATAGGCATATATGAGAGAGGAACAGGTGTGTTCTTTCCTTGGCGAAAAAAGCATCAGAGATTGGATTTTACTATGTGTGAGGCTTTTTGCACGCGTACGCGATGCCATGATGTGTTGAGTATTCCCCTCAGGTTCCATATGGCTTCTACAGTCTCTGGTTGAACATTCGCAGCTGTGTCAACCTGTTCATGCCATACAATGGTAAACTTTATAAATACATTAAATCAAAGCAATAAGAATTTCACATGTTCTTTCGTTCAAATGAGCATTAAAGAGTAAGACTGTTAAATTGGCTCAAAAATTAATAATCGTTCCACATTTATAATGCCTTTTGGCTCAATCGGAGATTGGTTCCAAGTCGATTAATAAACAAGGAGCCATTTTTGCTATCTAATTCAAATTGAAGAAATCCTTGAACAAATCGAAATGTATCTGCATGAATATATCAACACATATGTATCTAACACAAACTTTGATTTTTTAGATTTACAGAACTTTATCGATTGGATGAAAATGAATATTTAACTTTTTAAAAGTTAATAATAATGATATTTTTGATATGATATGCAAGATTTAAATTTCACATATATAAAAATCAAAGTATATGTTTTAGATATTTAGATGCATAATAATAGGGAGGTATGCATGTAAATGCCCCAAAAAATTGATAAAAATGAGCTTCAATTGAAATTAACAAGCTGTGCCTAAGTCGAACTAAGGAACAACCCGACCCAAACATGACCCAACTCAATTGGATCAAATACTCCGACGAGAGCCAATGTCAAATCACTCGAAATCGGACCATTAATAGCCCTATCATGGACATCAATATTTAGTAAAGAGAACAAAAATAACAAGATTAGCATAAATAACACTCAATTCCTATGTATTTACATATCTAACACCTTAACTTTAATTTTTACATACCACGTCTAACCTATGCAGCAAAAGCTGTATTTTAAGTTAAATGGTGATATTTTTTATGTGATATAAAATATTTGGGTGGTATAAATGTAAAAAAAGCAAAGTTTCAGTAGATATGTAAATACAAAGGAATTGGGTGGTATGCATGTTAATGCCCCAAAAATATAATAACAAGCAGAAGTAAATGTGTATGAAAGTATAAGTTTGTTCATACCGCTTTAGCAATGACCTCAGCATTCTCCGGAGCATCGACGACAGCTTTGAATAAAACCCAGGCCCATTTGTCAGCGTAGTGATCATCATCAGCAACATAGGATGTATCCTTCTGATACCTCTGAGCCTCAATCCAATTCATGCCTCCATCAACAGATATGTCCACTCGTTCAATACCACGCCCGCCACCTGAAACTGCATATCCAGCGACAGTGATCTGCAACGAAACAATTCATTGGACAAGTTTTAGATCGTAATTTGTAAACCTCTGTTGATTATATCAATTTTATATGGTTGATTAGAATTAATTTTTCAATGAATTTAAAAAAATGGTATTTTTATGGCATTTGATTTTTATTTTCTTTTTTAGATATTTTGGGTGTGGATTACATCCAACCTAAAAGTGGAAAGCTAGTTTCATTGTTTTATAAAACATCCTTTGCATTTACAATAAAATATACTACTAACCTTTCCTTGATTGATTACATTAGCATCCTCCAATGAACAAATAGCACACTGCAAAACAAAAAAAATTTTGAACATTAAACTAATGGAATGCTTATATTACAAAAATTACATACAAGTGAAAAATAAAATCCCACTTCAAACCAGGAATATATCATCATAATTAGCATATCCAATTTATGACCATTCTTTCTTTTTGAATACCACAGTCTAGATGAGTCAAGGTCACAAATTTTCACGCACTGGAAGTAAGAATCCAAGATGACTAATCACAATTTGACTGGACCAAAGTTCGTATGCTATGTAATCACTTTGAAGTGATTCCAGTCAAAAGAGTAAATATGAAAAAAAAAGCTTTCTTAAATGAGATAAATTTGTTTAAAATGAACATACCTGGACAGGGAAATCCATCTGTGGTCTCCTGGTAGACCAGTCGATGTTGTCCCAATCAACAGAAGGGGGAAACATTTTGTAATCCTTTTGCATGAAAAACCCCTGAGATAAAAGAAGAACGAGATTAATAGCTAGCTGAGTAGTAAGCAAGAAGGAGAAGGAACAAGTTAGACCTGGCATTCATCTTTGATTATGTTGATTCTGTCCAACCATTTAACAGAGCGAGCACCAATAACGCCGGGAACAATCACGCGTAATGGATACCCATGGTCGCGATTGAGGACCTTTACAAAGAAGAAAATGTTCACCCACAGACCATTGATTGGGTTGATGTGAGAAAAGAAGGTTTTCATAAGTTAGTTACATGATGGTATGCCATGCACTTAGAGAGAGAGATAGAGGGAGAGAGAGAGCGAAAAATTCAAATTCATAGGTTACAAAAGATAATTTCTGCCGAATATATTATAATGATAAGAGGCAAAAATTGCTTTCATACCCTACTTTAAGAGAGAGATGTCTGGATGAGGTTCACATATCCTACAAGCAAATTTATTTTTCCTTTCTTGGATTCAAGTGATTTTCAGATAAGCAATTCTAACCAAAACTGATAAAGGCACTCATTTCAACAATAGGTTCAACGTTTTAAAGGCTCCGCACGGCTATTTTAAGGGGGGAAATATTATCCGTCTCCAAGACAAAAAAGCTCGATTTCCGAAAGCAGATCACAGATCCTGTTGTAGAGAATACTTAATAAACTCCACCAAAACAAGAAACCAAACATACTCATATTTGATAAAATTCGATGCAACTAATCTGTACTGTACTTTTACTCAAAGCACTTGTCCATTTATGAGTTGCAATCATCATTTAATCAATTCCATTGGTCATTACAATTGGTAAGTTTGTAATTTCAAGAATCGTAAAATTACCTTGCGTATAAGGAAATGATGGGAATTAAATGAAATTAACAAATATAATAAATTGAATTATTACATTTTCAAAATATTAGAAATATTTTTTCTGCCACATATTATTCCATATTTATAGGATTTATTTGCTCATTTAATTTAAATTTATTTAAGAGAATATTTAATATTTAATTTAAAATTTTCAACATAAAAAAGGTAGCTGAAATACATCTCAATATCATATCAATATCATTTCATATATATACAACATCCACATGAGTGCCGTCTAAAAATTGTGTCGATTAAGACAAATCAATATCAATATCATTTTTCATATACGTGCATGAGTACCTTAGTGTTCCTCCGCTAGTACTATAAGCATCAAGGGATGACTATAATAGTCAATCATGCACAATCAATCATTCAATAAAAACATCACATTTTAAAAAAATATTCATTGTATAGCAGTCAAATCATTCAATGATGATATAGATACATCATTCCTACAATATGAACAAAAAATTCAATAAAATTAAAATCATGAATTTGCAATAATTTTAATATAACTAATGATAGTCCCAATAAATGTAATTGATCTAGAAGAAGCAAAATATCACTATAGTATAAGAACATGAGTACTCACCCTCATGTCGATTAATTTGCTATTGGTCTTGACATCGAGGCTTCTAAAATCGAAAGCCTAACACAAACACGAAATTAAATTAATTTATTATTTTAATAAACTAGTACTTTATTAAATTTACTTTATCTAATCCGGTCTACTTTATCTTAAATGCATGTGTCTCTCTCTCTCTATATCCACACACACACACACACACACACACACACACACACACACACAGAACTTTGACTGCGCCCCCCGCACGATTTTTCTTCAACGCTCGGCTAGAGTACGCATGCAAGGAAGCTCCTCCTCCATCTTCCTCTTCGATTCAACTCAATTTGACACAATAGCATCATTCTCTGTTGCAGAGCTCGGCTTTAGCTCTCTCGCACGAGCCTTCTTCCTCTCGCTTCCTCTTACTCTGCATGGTATCGACGTTGTCTCCTCCTCCGCTCGCAGAGACGCCACCTCTGCCCTAACCCTCGCATCGTTCTCCTCTCCTTTGCACGTCGCTCGACCACCAGGTAAGTTAGTCTATGATTTATATAAGTGTAATCACCTCCTAAACTTACACCTGTCGTTTTCGCTTCCCTTAGTTCGTTTTCTCTGACCCAATGTTTCTCCTACTGTTCTTCACTTCGCCTCCCCTGTAACCGAAACGGGACCATTACAGGTATGACAAGAAAAAAAACAAACCTAAGCTAGATGTACCTTTTAAATAGTGGAGAATTTAGTGGACAGCTTGGAGGTGGTGCTCATAGGGGTCAAACATGAATTAACTCACAATATCAACTGCGTGGCATATGTCGGGACGAGTATAGGCGAGGTAGATGAGTTTTCCAACAAGGCGCTGATAACGAGTCTTGCTGATAGACACAACATTGGGAATGTTAAAAAATTATTCATTAGAATCCATAGGAATGGCCACAGAATGTTGTTCTCTGTCAAGAAATCAATCACATATTTGCATTGAGACAGATAAATCCACCGAGAAGACCGAGCCACTTCTATGCCTAAGAAGTACCAGAGAGATCCATAGTCCTTCATTTTAAAGGACGGAGCAAGAATGTCTTTTAAGCAATTCAATGTTGTGAGATCGTTACCAATAAGAAAATTATCGTCAACATAGACAATAAAGATAGATACCTGGTCATTGGAGAAATGTCAAAAGAAGAGGGTGCGATCTGATTGAGCCCGAGTAAGATCATGGCCCACAACCACCTTTGTGAACTTACCAAACAATGCCCTTGGGGATTGCTATAGATCATAGAGAAACTTTTGTAGCATTTACACTTGTCCTCTAGATGTAGTAGAGTTAAAGCCAGGAGGGAGAGACATGTACACTTCTTCTGTACACTCTCCATTCAAGAATGCATTCTTAACATCTAGTTGGAATAAAGATCAATTCAGATTCATCGCAAGTGATAACAGGATCCGAATAGTGTTTAATTTAGCCACTGGAGCAAATGTCTTCTTATAGCAACTATGTAGATCAGTGAGTACCTCTTAGTGACTAATCGTATTTTTTGCATTCAAAGGACCCGTCAAAATTGAAATTGGTGCTGAAAATCCATCATTACCCTACAGCTTTCTTATCATGAGAAAAGTCCACAACATCTTACATATAGTTCTACTGAAGGGCATCCATTACTATCGTTTTCCAAGCTGGATTAGCAAGAACAACCTCAATAATAGCTGGGACCTGATGGTCTGTCAGGGTAATAACAAATGCTCTGTAGGTCGGCAATAAACTGCGAAAAGAGACATATTTTGTCATAGAATAGAGTGAGCATATATGATTGCGTACCTTAATCAGAGAACTCACCTCCCATTTGGATGATGAATTGTGTTGAGGATGTCGCCAGGAGTGGAGTCAAGGTTCTGTAAGGAGGTAGTAGACTCTAGAGCAAGAGCATTGGGACGGATGCACCAAGTGTATACACAGATAGTGGGAGGAGGAGATGGTGCACTCAACGGAGCAGGGGACTCAATGGCAGGAATAATGAGGGAACATCCATAGGAGTAGAATAAGGGATAGTGTCTAAGAACTTAAGCTCCCCATCACTTTAGGCTGAGCTAGGAAAATAAGGAACAGTTTCAAAGAAGAAGACATCAACACTCACAAAGAATTTGTTTGTGGTATGATCAAGTAATTGATGCCCCTTTTGAGTGGCAAAGTACCCTAGGAAGAAACATTTTATGGATCTAGGATCAAGTTTACTCCGAGTAAGGACAGTGTTCTGAACAAAGACAGTGCACCCAAAAATCTTGAGATCTAATGTGGAGAAAACCTGATTGGCAAGGAAGCATAGCATCAGGGCTACTAAGGGTTTGAAATTTGAAATTTTAGAAGGGACTTTATTTATGAGATAGGTGAGAGTCAAAATGACATCATTCCAAAACCGTTTCGGGACATTAGATCGAAACATAATAGAATAAGCGACGTTGAGGAGGTGAAGTTTTTTCTCTCAACAACTTTATTTTGTTGAGGAGTGTTCGTACATGAGCTATGGTGGATGATGTTCTTACTCACCAAGAATTCAACCAAAATAGAGTTGAAAATTTCACTATCATTGCCAGTCTAAAGGACTTGAATTGGAGTTTTGAATTGAATTAAAATGAAGGTGTAGAAGTTTTAGAAGCTGACAGTAACCTCCGATTTGTCTTTTGGAATGTAGACCCACGTCGTTCGAGTGTAGTAATCAATCAAGCTCATGAACCACCCTTTATTGGTGCAGCTGGAAGTGCGAGAGGGTCCCCATATGTTACTATAAATGAGAGAGAAAGGAGTGGAAGGTGTGCAAGTGTGGGGTGGGTAATGGACCTGTTGATGTTTGACTAAAAAATATGTTACTATAAATGAGAGAGAAAGAAGTGGAAGGTGTGCAAGTGTAGGGTGGGTAATGGACCTGTTGATGTTTGACTAAAAACATGTTTCACAGTTGAAATTAGAGACTTTTGTTAGAAAATATCCAAGGATACAAATTTTTTAAATATTAGAACTAGGATTACCTAAACAACAATGAAACAACATGATGAGACAATCAATGACTTAAGATAAATTATAATGCTTGAGTGATGTGTCCTCACTCTCCATGCCATTCTCTTGGAAGTAATAGAGTTTAGCTACCATCTTAGTAGTTCTAGTCATCGAACCCGAACAACGATTCTGAAAAATATAATCAGCAAAAGAGAAATTAGCCACCCAATAAATATCATTTGTCAACTTGCTGACAGATAACAAGTTACATTGCAAAAAAGAAACATGTAAAACAGACTCCAGAGTCAGACCGCTCGTTAGTATAACTGACTCTTTACCAGTAATGGAACTACAAGAGCCGTCGAAGCTTGTGAGCACAATTCTTGTAGTATCTTTCCAAGAGCACAGATAGTAAGTTAAGAAAGCTTGTGAGCATCCAGTCATGTGATCCGTGGCACTTGAATCAATAATCCACGAACTAGAGGAGAAAAGAACTGTGAAAACCATAGGAAGATTACTTTGTCAAACGTGGGAGGTCAACGAACCTGCAGAGAATTGATTGGCTCCAAGTAGCTTGATCAATTGCTCCATCTGATTTCTCAGGAATTCGAAGTATTACGGGATGTTCCGGGTAGAAGTTGGTTGAACTGAGGTAAATTCAGATGTTGCCTTGAGGCCCTTAGTGACAGAAAATTTGGCTGAATCTTTTTATGTCGGTTTATCACAAAGTTTCCAACACTTGTCCCGAGTGTGGTGGGGTTTGTAAGAGTAACCAAGTGGAGTGACCGGTCCAAGGTGGCATGGACTTGGGTTAAGCACGATTAGAAATGATTCTGACTAAGTCAAAAGAAATGTGGCTAAGATTCTGAGACATTGATGGGTTTGTAACTCATCGGCTGACAGATAATTGTTGGAAGGCTGCAAGAAAGCTGCACAAAAGATGCGAGTAAGCTACAGAAAAAATGCAGGGAGGTTGCAAGAAGGAAGCAGAAAAGATGCATGAAAGCTGCAGGGATGTTGTAACTTTGACGTGAAAACTTCCTTACCGAACACTCTATTGATCAGAGCACTCCAAGTCTTTAGAGGAGATCGCTTCAGTTACACCATCATCACAGCCTCAGAAGAAAAGGGCGAGAACACTTGATGGTCAAGTTGCTGTTGAGGAGAAGGGCAGGAAAATTTGTCCCATCATGGAGGAAACCGGTGGCTGTAGAAGAAGGTTGGAGGAGGTCGACGGTTGTAAGAGCAGCCAGAAGGGTCGGGGGTGGGGGCTCCCCGCAGGAAGAATGGCGGCTATTGCAGAGGCATTCGGTGGTTGGGTCTAGGGTTGGATAGAACCTTGCTCTGATATCATGTTGAATTTTAAAATAAAGCAACATAATATTATTGATAGGATGAGGGGTATTTAAACTCAATTATAATAACACTAATAAAGAAATAAATAAAACAGAATAAAACAACTAGGAAAAAAATAAAACGGAATAAAGCAAATAAGAAAAATAATAAATAACAATGGCTAGGGATTGTCATTATAAATCTAATAGAAACATTAACAATATAACAACAACAACAAAGTCTTAATCCCACTACGTGGGGTGAGCTACATGAATCCTTTTTCTCCAGTGCATCCTATTTAGTGTCATATTTTCATTTAATTCTACTAAATTAATATCATTTTTTATACAATAAGCCCAAGTCTTCCTAAGTCTATCTCTGCCTTTCTTAACATAAGTCGGTCGAATCTCATCTACTCTCCTAATCAGATCATCAGACGGTCGACGTTTAATGTGACCAAAGCATCTAAGACGACTCTCTCTAATTTTGTCTCTCACTGGAGCTACACCAACCCTATCACGGATATATTCATTTCTCACTTTGTCTCTAAGTGTAAAGGCACTCATCGACCCAATCATTCTCATCTCAACAACACTTAACTTAGTATTATGCTTCTATTATAAAGGCCAACATTCAGCGTCATTGAGCATTGCACGTCTCACCACCATCTTATAAAATTTTCCTTTCAGTCTAAGCAGAACTTTTCTATCACACAAAAGCCTAAAGCATTCCTCCACTTCAACCAACAAATTTGAATTCTACTATAAACATCCTCATGTATATCATCATCACTTTGAACAATAGACCCGAAATATCTAAATCGTTCCCACCTTTTATTAATTTGATCACCCAAAGTTACACTCCTGTCACTATAGCTACTACTACTAAAATTACATACATGTATTCAGTTTTAGTTCTACTCAAATGAATGCCTTTAGACTACAATGTAGACTCCAAAATTCAAGTTTTTCCTGGATTTTTTCTCTCGTCTTATCTACGAGAAGGATATCATCAGCAAAAAGCATACACCAAGGTACATCCTCCTATAAATGTCAAATAAGACCATCTATAACTAAAACAAAAAGATATGAGCTTAATGCCGATCACTGATGTAATCCAACAAAAATAGAAACCTTACCAATATTGAAACAAAAACTGCAAGATCAAGGAGAAGGAAATTGTGACTTCAGGGAACATATTCTTCTATACGTAACAATTTTTAACGAAAAAATTCACACAAAGTAATCGACTAAATTTCTCTGCATAAAATATATTTCAACTCCATAGAAAATTTAGTTTCCTAAATTAAGATGGTTTTATGAAATTCAACATAAAGTACCTCGCCATTCATTTCATATGCAAGTAAAACATCAGCTCCAGGATTTGTTGCCAGCCTTAAAGGAATTGATGCCTTGTAAGGGCCACCTTTCTCTTCCTGATAAAAAATACATTAAAAAAAAAATGTTAGAACAGAAGTTAACCACCCTCTCATTTCCTCTATCAAGAAAGGAAAAATTGAGGTTCTAAATTACCAAAGTAAGGAATACTCACTTTACACTTGTCAACACTTGTGAACTCTACATGCTTCCCACCTAATGATGAAATGGCAGATAACTTGGGTATACCAATAATCTCAAGTACATCGCACAATTTTGCTCCTCCCCAGGTTGCTATATAACGAAAACAAAAATTTTGAGAAAACATGTAACAAAAAGAGAATAAATAATCCTAACTTTCACAAAATCAGGAAAATTGTCAGGACATAAAACCAAAAATGAAGGGAAAATCCTAAGTTTCATCATCATTAGCATTTTACCAATTATTTAGAATGCGCGAATTTTTGCTTTTTGCAAAAATTGTTAAGTGATTCCAGAAGAAGTTTGATTATTTTGCAATATAGAATAGTACTTATATATGCATATCATGGCAGAAAAAGAAATCAATCAAAAAAATTACTACACTAAAATAAGATGATGCTTTGAAATGTGAAAACTGTTAATATTTCGAGATAGATTTTAAAATAAACAAATTAAAATTCTTTAGTTCAGCTAAGCTGAATGTGAAATAAGATGGCTAGTTCAACAAAGAAGATTGCTCTTTAAGATTTATGAGATTCTAAGAATAGATCTTACATTAATGTGGAGATTCAGTGGTGAAATGAGGAGTTATAAAATGTTAAAGAGAAAAAAAACGTGTGTTTAAAATGAGAAACATCGCGATTATAATAATGCTAGAACTCTTCAAAAGAGTATGGTGAACAAACCAAAAGCAATAATTTTGATTATTTACAGAACATCTTTGTTGGTAAGGAGTAAACGTTAGAACTCTTGCAAAGAGTGGTTGTTGCGTGATTAAAGACTTTTCCATTATTGTAAAGTTATATCTATAATCAACATACAACCTCATATCAATCTGCTGGCTTGCAAAGATGCTTATATAGTATATTCAAAATGAATATATATATATATATATATATATATCTGTGTGCGCGCGCGCGCGAGCCGCGAACTTAGATTAGTTGGTCGAGCATTTGTTTGTTGGTTGTAAGTCCCCTTTTATCTGAGGTTTGATTCCTCCTGAGTGTAGGGTCGGGTACTCGAATTATAGGCGTATGAGGGATGGTTGGGGCTCGTATTTGCCCACTAAAAAAACACAAATTGTTCAAAAACTAGAAAAAAACAGAAAAATACATTAAATACTTAAATAAAAAACCTAACAGTGTCGAAATACATAGTATCAGGTGGCTAGAGAACGACCCAATTTGATCTTATCTCTGCCTCTAGTTCTAGGAAAGGAGCAAGCTAGTAAGCTGGTAAGATGATTGCCATTGCCAGAAGTAACCAATGTATCATCCAATATATTCCCGAGCTGGAGTCTGCCTCTATTCTTCTTCCTCCTGGAATAGACCTGTCATTCCTCTTCCGAAGAATCAATCTGATGGGGAGGTAGAGCTGAAGAAGAAGGAATATCAACCATAGTACCCACAATAGGTTCTAGCATATGTTTAGTATGAGTTGCCTCTACACCGGATACTTCCTGAAGAAGTGGAGCTGCGAGGCTCTCCTGATTATGAGTTTGAACACTTTCATTTGTAGGTAATAGTCCATCAGTATTATTTTTTTATGGGCTTTTGAAGGTGTCAATATCACATCCCTCTCAGTAACAGTAACAACAGTGTCATGAGGGGGGGTCCTCAGGAGCAACAGACACCACCTGTCTGGTAGTATCCTCTCCAAGTGGAACTAAAGTGTCCAGAGCAGTGGGGTTAGACCCATCCTTATTCACTTGAACCTTAGTTTTCAAATTAGGATAGAGTTTGTAGCATTTATCAAGGATATGACCAAACATCTTACAGTGGGTAAAATATGGGGGTCTGTGTTACAAGACGATTTGTTGTCAATATCCATTGTGAGTTGTGTCGACCCAGGAGCCAGACTTCAGTAACATCCGGTAAAGTAATATCTAAAGTAATATCCCTTCCCACAAGTATTATGACCACCAAGGGTCTAGTTAGGTTGAAAGTAGACAAATCTAGTTTCAATGGATCCCCTAGGATGACCCCAATAGAGTAGAGAACCTGATAGTGAAAAAAATGGAGCTTGAGACAAGGTAAACTAAACCATATCGGTACAGTGGAAGTTTCATGATTTGGGTCGAAATCAGGAGACCACTTGAGTAACTTCATAGCTTTTCCTGCGATATGAAGATATTTCTTAGAGAAAATTCTGGTGTAGTCTTCGGTCATTGTTAGTTGAATCAATACATGTCTCTCATTCATAAGTCTCACATTCCACTTGTCTATTGGCTTAAGATCATCTACGTTCTTTCCAATAACCTCCATAGGTGGGTGTCCCCACTGAAATTTTCCAATGAGAGCAAACTTGAATTTTTCTGTCATGGTAGAAATTTTCGAGTTAGAGAAAAAATTTTAGTGTCCCCACTAAGCTCTTTCTGAAAATATATATATATATATATGTATGTATATATA